GAGAGAGAGAGAGAGAGAGAGAGAGAGAGAGAGAGAGACTAGTCTGATACCTACGAGCTTAATCGTACACTTGTTCACCAATGCACAACTTCACCCATCTGTAGTTTCGACTCACCCTCACTCATACTAAGTTAAGTCTCAGCCTCAACACTTATGCACAGTTCGGTGACACTCATGCCGTTCGTTTGAGTCCACATTTTTTGTTCCTTTCAGATCGGTGAAGGCAACGGACCAGACGATGGTGATGGCAGTTTACAACGGTTTAGGGCTGCTGCTAGGTAAAACAATAAATCTGTCTGGCAATTAACTGGTTAGTTTACCAATCAACCAGCCAATCAATCAATTCGTCAATCTATCCATACATCAATCAGTCAACCAGTCAGTCACTCAGTCAGTCACTCAGTCACTCAGTCTATGCTTTCAATATTTAATTCAACTTTTTATCTGATCTCTCCATAATTTCATATCCCACCCTTCTACAGTATCGTGTTTTACAGCGTTGTCGAATTGTTTGGACAAGGTCTGTATAAAGCCCTTAAGTCTTGAAGTTCAAGAATTCGGAAACAGACACTGTTCTCTTTGTTTCTTAGATTCTACTTCATACCTGAATTAGTACTGAATAACCAAAGGAGTTTCTTCTCTGAAACCTTTCTAGTGATTGGTGTTATGTAATATACTCAGCTGTAATACAACCGACTTTTTCAAAAAATGAGGTCCAAAGGTAAACCCATCCACTCCCCTCCCCACCCCCCACCCCTTTCCCCTCAGTGTTTTACTCGAGACAAAAGGGAAGTAATGCTAAATATGATTTTTCATTCAACAAAACTACCAATAATAAAAGCATTTAACCTCTGGAGGGAAGGTTTTCTTCTTCTGGCAGTGATTCAAGTTCAGCAGCCCAGGCTGAAGAAGGAGAGAGGAGGGTACATGGTTGGCGTTAAAGCCTCCCTCCTGTTTTGTGTACAAAGTCATATTATAGGCGAGCATATTATACGGTAATTGTTCGTCTTAGCAAGGAACGATTAGATCTATGTTGAATGCTAAAATTAAATTATAGACAGTACGTCAAAGTTGTTATCATATGAACATTTTATAGGTTTATTTCAGGATTGGTGTTCAGCTCTGTTGCTTCACGCCGCAGAATGCTGTTCTGCCAAGTTGCAGCGTATCAGTTAAATTCAGTGCCGGTGCCCTTCCCCACATACCTCAACTCACTGAGGCTTTCCAAAATGCTGGGATGGCGAGTTATTGAGGATTTAGTCTGCAGTTAACACTTCTTAGCCTTCTCATCGTTCATACCCATAATACTGCTTGTTGCTTCAGACAAAATCTTTTTAACTTGTTATTTTGGAAACTTTTTGAAGCAGTATGTTTTTATTCTTATAGATAGCGACAGTAGTCTGGTGGTGAAGGTTAAAAGAAATTGAATGTCGTGTAAATGAGGTCCAAAGGTATTTCAGTTGGGATTCCCGTGTTTGAGCGTCTAGTCCGTATCGAACACGTGTCAGCCTCTACCTCGTTCATATCCATAATACTTTTACTTGTTATTTCGGGCAGTAGGTTCTTCTTCTTATAAGCATCGTCAGTTAAACAATATGGTGGTAGGGATTAAAAGAAACTGAATGTCGTGTAAATGGTGTCCATTTCAGCTGGGATTCCCGCTCCAATGGTTTTTGGTAGAATCGTTGACAGCGCCTGCATTCTGTGGGACACCGCCGGCGGCGACTGTAAACTCTACTCTCGTGAGGACCTCAAGTGGAAGATTGTGGGCAGCTTCAACGGACTGCGCTGGCTGAGTAACATTCTCCTGGTGGCTGTCCTCATCCTTATGGTGCGTGACGACCGCAGGAAAGCCCGCCAAAAGAAGGAGAAGGAGGACGAGGGTCGATTGGGCGGGGTTGACAACGAAGGGGCGGTGCTTGATGACGAGGATGAGAAAGGTTTGGAGGCGGGGTACGAACTGAAGATGCGACGAATGAGCGCAATCAGTGTGGAGAGTAACACACTGCATACCAGGCTGTGAAGAGTCTATCGGAAGGCAACAACAAGTCGCTATCTTAGAATTACAAAGTTTTGTCTGACATTTTTGTCTGTTTTTGAGTTACTAGGGCCATGAGTTCAGAAACCAAATCCTATCCGAAAGTAGCGGCAGGAAGTCGGTGAGAGAAATCTTCGAAACTCTCTCCAGAAAATTCAAGTAAAACGCTCATGCAAGTAATGATTCGTCACTGGCGCACTGTAAATCTAGAATAAAAATCTTGTTATACTTGTGCGCCAGAAAATCGATTTGTGTAATTTTGCTGAAAGAGGGGATTCAGAAATACATGAACAGGTGTAAAATACATTTCCAGTTACATGGGGATGGGGAATGTGGGTGGGGAGTCTTCAAGCTAAAATGTGACATACTTGAAGACGTGTGTTTGATCAAATGCTAGTCTACTTAGAATTTATAGGGGTGGGCGACAAAACAAACATGCAAGTAAATGAATAAGGAAGCATGTATTGAATTTATATCTATATCAACCAATCAGTCAGTCAACCAATCTATCTATCGATCTATCTATCCATCCATCCATCTATCTATCTATCTATCTATCTATCTATCTATCTATCTATCTATCTATCTATC